ATAATGGTCATGTGATAATAACAATAATAATAACAATAATATATCAGACATAATAGTCATGTGATAATAATATTATATATCAGACATATTGGTCATGTGATAATAATAATATTAATGTATCAGACATATTGGTTCTGTGATAATAATAAATCAGACATGTTGGTCATGTGATAATAATAATAATGCATCAGACATATTGGTCATGTGATAATAATAACAATAATAATAATATATCAGACATAATGGTCATGTGATAACAATAATAATAATATATCAGACATAATGGTCATGTGATAATAATATATATATATAACTATATATTATTATATCCATATAGACATATTGGTCATGTGATAATAAATAATAATATTATTGTATCAGACATATTGGTCATGTGATGATAAATAACAATATATCAGACATAATGGTCATGTGATGATAATAATAATAATATATCAGACATATTGGTCATGTGATAATAGTAATATATTAGACATATTGGTCATGCGATAATAATAATAATTATGTATCAGACATATTGGTCATGTGATGATAATAATAATATATCAGACGTATTGGTCATGTGATAATAATATATTTGTCAGTTCATATGTTATTATATTATGATTATATGACTGATATTATTATTATTATCACATGACCAATACGTCTGATATATTATTATTATCAGTCATGTAATAATAATAAAAATGTAATTCAATATCAGTCAATTATTATTATATGGCTGATATTATTTTATTTCAGGTACTTATATAGCGCTGTTAATTTACGCAGTTTAATTAACTCACATTCATACATACACATACTATGGACAATTTAGACAGGATCCAATTAACCTACCAGCATGTCTTTGGAGTGTGGTAGGAAACCGGAGTACCCGGAGGAAACCCCACCCAGGCACAGAGAGAACATGCAAACTCCAGGCAGGAGGTGCTGTGGTTGGGATTGGAACCAACGACCTGAGTACTGCCAGGAAGTGCTAACCGTTTAGCCACTGTGCTGCCCACTTTACTTATTTTTTAGTTTACATTCTGTCAGCGAGGAAACCCCACTAACAGCACATGAGCCATGGTTGTTAGGGATGGGGCGGCTGCCCGCTTCTTAGCAACCATGACAGTTACTGGTTGTTGGATGCCGGCGGCTGATGGCTCCTTAACAACCTGTTACAATCATACAAATTCCGTATCACAGGGGTGTCCAAACTATGGCCCTCCAGCTGTTGAAGTTCTACAAGTCCCATCATGCCTCTGGGTGTCTTGCCTGTGGCTGTCAGATTCTTGCAAGGCCTCAAGGGACTTGTAGTTCCTCAACACACTGGAGGGCCATAGTTTGGACACCCCTGCCCTATTGCATGCCTAGACCACTACTTCATTACCGCATGCATTTATTTAGTTATTTCCTTTTGTGAATTGAGTTTTATGCGGTATTTACTGAGCATTTTGTGATAAATACCACAAGACAGCATAGTGAAGATACAATGACCGGATTGCATGCGATATTTATGTATCCGGACGCCTAAATACCGCATACGTCTGCTTTAGTGAATGGAGCCCTGTAGCTTTTATTATGATATTGCGGGAATCATTCATGCAGAAAACCAGATATTCCTGAGATGAATAAAAGATGTTTCTGTTTTTATATCTTAATTAAAGTTTTAATGGCTTTGCTTTTTATTTGGATGTTATTGGGTTGTTTGTATTTTTTGTTACCTTGCATGCCTCCCTGATGAAGCGGTAAAAAAGTAGTTGTAGCAATTTTGCTTTCAAGTTAAGCTGGAATTTGCTCATTCGGAACATGTGAAGGCAGCCCCAGCCAGCCTAGTGTATTTACCGTCTTTTCTACTGCTCTGCTTGCCTGTACATATGGAAATCCCCATTCATAATGGAGTTGATTTACTAAAACTGGAGAGTGCAAAATGTGGTGCAGCTGTGCAAGGCGGCCAATCAGCTTCTAACTTCAGCTTGTGCAATTAAAAAAAAAACACTTGGAAGCTGATTGGCTGCCATGGTCATTTGCACCAGATTTCGCACTCTCCAGTTTTAGTAGATCAACCCCATAGTGTTTCCCAATGAGGAAAAAGGATTTTTTTTGATACTATAGGTGTCCAGATCTCCCATATGTGTCAGCTATAACCACACATAGATGAGTGGAGTTATTATTATTTATCATTATACAGGATTTATATTATTATTATTATATGGGATTTAATATATTATTATTATACAGGATTTATATTTATTATTATACAGGATTTATATTATACAGGATTTACATTATTATTATACCTGATTTATATTATTATTATTATACCGGATTTATATAAATATTATTATTATACAGGATTTATATTATTATTATACAGGATTTATATAGCGCCAACAGTTTGCTCAACGCTTTACAATATAAAGAGAGACAATACAGCAACAATACAGTTCAATACAAGAGAGGGTTAGGAGGGCCCTGATCCTGGGATCTTACAATCTAAGAGGGAGGGGCTGGTGGTGCAAAAGGTAATAACTGGGGGATGGACTGGTAGGCAAGGGATAGAAGATTCCATTATTAGCTGAAGGCGGGATAGGCTTCCCTGAAAAGGGAGGTTTTCAGGGATCGCCTAAAAGTGGGCATAGTAGGCGATAGTCTGATAGATTGGGGTAGAGTTCCAGGGGATGGGGGAAGCTCTAGAGAAGTCCTGGAGACGAGCATGGGAGGAGGAGGACAAGGGAGCTAGAGAACAGGAGGTCATGGGAGGAGTGGAGAGGGCGGTTTGGGTGATAGTTCTGCGTTCCTTAACCACTTGCCAACCGCACTATAGCTGAATGATGGCTACAGCGCAGTTGTCCAGTTCTGGGAGAGCATCCTCCCAGAACGTGCCCTTCCGTGCGGACACAGCTGATTATATGATGAGATAAAAGGCCAATCACAGCGAACTTTTACCACGTGATCAGCTGTGTCCAATGACACAGCAGATCACAATGTACATACAGTTGCCGGTTATCAGCTGCACTTTCCTCACATTGTCACAGCGCGAGGAAAGTACCACCGATAACCAGCAGAGGACATTTACACTGATCATCAGGAACTGATGATCAGTGCCCATCATTGCTGCATATCAATGCAGCATCATCAGTGCCTCCTCATCAGCCTATCAATGCCCATCGGTGCAGCCTCATCAGTGCCCATCAGTGCAGCCTCATCAACGTACATCAGTGAAGGAGAAAAATTACCTGTTTGCAAAATTTTATAATACTTTTTTTTTTCAAACTCTTTGCTCTATTTTGTTTATAGTGCAAAAAATAAACCCCCAGCAACCAAAATAAATAAAAATAAATACCACCAAAAGAAATCTATTTGTGTGAAAAAAATGATAAAAATTTAATATGGGTACAATGTTGCATGACCGCGCAATTGTCATTCAAAGTTTGACAGCGCTGAAAGCTGAAAATTGGCCTGGTAAGGAAGGGGGTGTAAGTGTCCGGTAGGCGAGGGGTTAAAGAACTACTGAAGAAAAGGATTTTAACCCCTTGACGCCGACCGCACAAATTTCCGTGGGGCCGCTAAATTTGCACACCTGCCTTTCTGCTGGGAAGGCACCGCAGAGCACACTCCCTGCACAAAGAACTGGGTGTCACTGAGAGCCCCCGGGTCCCCGTTCTAACAATCGAGACCCAGAACTCCCAATTGTGGGTCACCTGATGGCTGTGATAGCCTCTGATTGGCTATCAGTGATCAGTCACTGTGAAGCCCCCCCCCCCCCCACCGTTTTCTCTCTTTGAATGGAGGACAGCGATATATTGTATCTCTTTCTCTGTCCTTTCAGAGAGAGAAAAAAAAAAAAAAGTGAGTAAAAAAAATAAACAAAATGACGTAGATCAAGGTTAGATCTAGGTCAGTGCCATCTTTAGTGTTTGGGTCAAGGTCAGGTTCCTTTTTTTTTTTTTTATGGAGGGGGGGGGGGCAGGGTTTTTTTTTTAAATTAATATCAGTTAAAAAAAAAGCATATTGTGCACTATTGTTTCTGGGCTGTACTACGTTTACAAACAACAACTAACACACACATGTGGTATCGCTGCGATTGTCAGGAGCAGGAGAAATTATTTTGGGTTGCTCTTTGGTGGTAAGTTATGGTAGTAAACAAGAAATATACAGCTACATTTAAAAAAAATTGTTTTTTTCTTTTACTATTTTGGGCCATTTTTTTCTCTTTGGTAATTAAAAAAAAAATAGTTCTGACGGTTTTGCTAAAGTTGCAAAATTGTGCTTAGGCTTTAAGATTTGTTTTACCCTCAGGTAGTGGTGCACCGAAATGAAAATTCTGGTGCCGAAACCGAAAATTCAAAATGCACTTGGCCGAAAACTAAAATGCGCAGTTTTTAAAAATGAATATATATTTTTTGGAAAAAATATATTTTGATTAAAAAAAACAATATATACCCAAACTAATTTTGTAAAATATGAAAGAGGATGTTAGGGCGAGTAAAAAGATACCCAACATGTCACTCTTTAAATTTGTGCACGCTCGTGGAATGGCGTAAAACTGCGGTACTTAAAATTCTCCATGGGTGATGCTTTAAAAATTTCTACAGGTTAGCAGTGTAACATTACAGAGGAGGTCTAGTGCTAGAATTATTGCTCCAACGTTCGTGGCGATACCTCACCTGTGGTTTGACCACCATTTACATATGTGGGCGTGGCCTACATATGTGTTCACCACTACGTGTGAGCACAGGGGGGAGACGGGGGGGCACTTTGAACTTTTCTTAACCACCTCCCTTCCGGCCGTTGTATATAAATAGTGGTAGTGCAGGGGCGGGTGGCCGTTTATAAACGGCCTCCCTGCTTGTGCGCGCTCCCTGGGAGCGCGCAGCACCGCGAGCCAGTGCCCGCTGTGTCCTCCAGACACAGTGGAACTCCGATCGTTGGACGGGACCTCTCTGCGAGGTCCCGATCATGTGATCACCAATTGGCCAATCAGTGATCACATGCAGAGTAGTAAGCAATATGTCACTTCTGATATCATTGCTTACTACGTGTGAAATCTGTGAATGATCACAGAGGTCACATGGTACAGGGCTATTCACAACAGCCTTGTACCATGTGACAAGCTGTGACCAATCACAGCTCACACAGTAGTTCTCAATGGCTGCAAGAATGCAGACAGAGAGGAGAAATGATTGCTTTTACATGCTATATGGGTGTAAAAGCAATCAGTGTAAAAAAAAGAAAAAAATCTTCATCACCCCCCCCCACAAGTAGTACAGTACTAGGGTGACAGTATGTAAAAAAAAAAAACATAAGTAATATAAAAATGTAAAAAAAAGTTTAAAAATTATAATTTTTGGTTATAAACTAATTTGGGTTATTTTTTTTTTTTTTTACTAAAAAGATAACGGAATACATTTTGGCCAAGATTTATGATGAAATATTATTTATTTGCAAAATTTTATAAGAAAAACACTTTTTTAAAAAGATTTTTGGACTTTTTTCATTTATATAGCAAAAAAAATAAAAATCCCAGTGGTGAATAAATACCACCAAACTAAAGCTTTATCTCGTCCCAAAGAAATGGTAAAAAATTCTTATGGGTACAGTGTTGCATGACCGCTCATTCAAAGTGTGATAGCGCTGAAACCTGAAAATGGCCCTGGACAGGAAGAAGAGAAAAGCGTCCTGGACAGGAAATGGTTAAAAAAATTATATATATATTTTTTTTTTACATTTAAAAGCATTTAAAAAGAAAGATCTTGGTGTTTTAAATGCTTTTAAGTGCAGAGGAGGGATTTGGGGTCTATAAAGAGCACCTGTTACATGCCTATTGCTGTCATGGGATGTTAACGCACACGGGGCGTTTTGATAACGCTGGTAACGTTAACTGTGTAAAGTCACATTTTTTCACGTTTATGGTTTTTAGTGGGTTTTTTTTTTACCAAAAAATATTTTTTCTGGTCAAAAAATGATGGTTTGCCACGATTTACAGTGTTTGTCAGCGTTAGAGAGTTTTTACAGCTAAAAGAACTTCTCTACTAGAAGCCCACTAGTCCTGGGTTCTTTTTCCAGCCAAAAAAATGTCCCTGCCAAAAACGTTGATTCCAGTTTACTGGCTGTAGAGAAAAAAGTCAAAAGCCAAAAACAGCCGCTGTAAAAACAACTCGTGTGCAGGAGGACTCACATTCCTTTGTGACAGCAATAAAACTTAAACAAATAAAAAAACAATATAGTAATAAAAGCTTAAACAAATTTGAAACTACAGTGTAAAAAAAAAAAAAAAAATTAAACGTGCTCCTATTCCCCTTTGCTGGCACATACAGGTGAACGCACGCGTTGGTCCCGCACGCAGACAAACCGTGATTGTCCCACACGTGAAGTATCACCGCGAATGTCAGATCATGAGCAGGAATTCTAGCACCAGACATTGTTTGTCTCCGTGGCGTGGGAGTGTGCAATTTTACATACAGTTGCAAGAAAAAGTATGTGAACCCCTTGGGATTACGTGGAGTTTTTGCATGAATTGGGCATAGAATGTGCTACTGAACGTCATCTAAGTCACAACAATAGAAGAACACAGTCTGCTGAACATAATACTACACAAACATTAGATGTTGCCATGGTTTAATTGCACATAACATGTAAACATTCACAGTGCAGGGAGGAAAAAGTATGTGAGGCCCTAGCTTAATGACTTCTCCCAGAGCTAATTGGAGCCAGGAGTGAGCCAACCTTGACTCCAATCAGTGTGATGATATTGGATGTGTTGCTGACAGCTGTCCTGCCCTTAAAAAACACACACCTGTTTTGGGTTTACTGGTTTCAAGAAGCACTGTCTGATGTGAACCATGCCTTGCAGAAAAGAGCTCTCAGAAGACCTACGATCAAGAATTGTTGACTTGCATGAAGCTGGAAAGGGTTACAAAAGTATCTCCAAAAGCCTTGATGTTCATGTGTCCACTGTAAGACAGACTGTCTACAAATGGAGAAAGTTTAGCACTGTTGCTATTCTCCCTAGGCGTGGTCGTCCTGTAAAAATGACTGCAACAGCACAGCGCAGAATGCTGCATGAGGTAAAGAAGAATCCCAGAGTGTCAGTTAAAGACCTACAGAAATCTCTGGCACATGCTAACATTTTTGTTGACACATCTACAATAAGGAAAACATTAAACAAGAATGGAGTACATGGGAGGACACCACGGAGGAAGCCATTGCTGTCCAAAAAGAATATTGCAGCACGTTTGAAGTTTGCAAAAGAGCACCTGGATGTTCCACAGCACTACTGGCAAAATATACTGTGGACAGATGACACCAAGATTGAGTTGTTTGGGAAGAACACACAACACTATGTGTGGAGAAAAAAAAAGGCACAGCACACCAACATCAAAACCTCATCCCCACTGTAAAAACATGGCGTAGGGAGCATCATGGTTTGGGGCTGCTTTGCTGCCTCAGGGCCTGGACGGATTGTTGTCATTGATGGGGGAAAATGAATTCCAGAGTTTATCAAGACATTTTGCAGGAATAAAACGTACGACCATCTGTCCGCCAACTGAAGCTCCGCAGAGGATGGGTGATGCAACAGGACAATGACCCAAAGCATACAAGTAATTCAACAAAACAATGGCTGCAACAGCACAGAATACGCCTTCTGGAGTGGCCCAGTCAGAGTCCTGTCCTCAACCCGATTGAAATGCTGTGGCATGACCTTAAGAGAGCGATTCACACCAGACATCCCAAGAATATTGCTACACTGAAACAGTTTTGTGAAGAGGAGTGGTCCAAAATGACTCCAGATCATTGTGCAGGTCTGATCTGCAACTACAGGAAACGTTTGGTTGAGGTTATTGCTGCCAAAGGAGGGTCAACCAGTTATTAAGTCCAAAGGTTCACATACTTTTTCCTCCCTGCACTGTGAATGTTTACATGTTATGTGCAATTAAACCATGGCAAACATCTAATGTTTGTGTAGTATTATGTTCAGCAGTCTGTGTTCTTCTATTTTTGTGACTTAGATGACGTTCAGAGCACATTTTATGCCCAATTCATGCAAAACTCCACGTAATCCACAAGGGGTTCACATACTTTTTCTTGCAACTGTAGTCTGGCTGAAAAAAGACAAAAGTCCAACCAGTTCAACCATAGAAAAAAAAAAAAAAAAACAGTTATATTCCTATACCCACAGTTGATCCAGAGGAAGGCAAAAAAAACCCCCAGCAAAGCATGATCCAATTTGCCTCTGCTGGGAATTTTTAAAATTTTTAAAGCGTGACATGTTTGGTATCTATTTACTTGGTTATGTATTTTATTTTGCTTTAAATTTAAAAAAAAAAATATTTTTCCTAATAAATTGCATTTGAAAAACAGCTTCACAAATACCGTGTGCCCTAAAAAAAATTGGAAAACCAACCATTTTATTCTCTAGGGTCTCTGCTATGAACATAAAAATACAAAATGTTTAGGGGTTTTAAGTAATTTTTTTTAGCAAAAAAAACACCCCGATTGTTACATGTGAACAAAAAATTGCCAGATAAAGCCTAGTCCTTAAAGTGGAACTCTCAATCAACGTGGACTATTATTAATCTTTATGCTTCTAGCATTGGTAAATAGATATTGAGTATATCATATTTACTTTTATTTATTTATTTTTTACATTCAGTTACTTCCTGGTTTCCTTGCCTAGTCAAATGATGTCATACATCCCAGGAGTCTTCAAGAGGGGAGGGTTCTCAGGTCAGCCAATGCTTGAGCTAAGGGCAGATGGATTCCAGGAAGTAAATACTACATGAATCCTCTGCCCTTATTCAAGATGACCACTGGCAGAAATACCAAGGGGTGTTTTTCAAAATGATTTCTCAGCAAAAATAAATCATGGAGATATGGATGGATGGGGGAGTTTTCTTTGAATATTAACAATGAATAAAATATTTTTGGTTTGTGGTGCTCAGTACAGTTTCGCTTTAACATGTTACTAAACCCCGGACCCCGCATTCACTATATCCGCTCTCCCCGGACCCCGCATTCACTATATCTGCTCTCCCCGGACCCACGCATTCACTATATCCGCTCTCCCCGGACCCCCGCATTCACTATATCCGGTCTCCCCCGGACCCCGCATTCACTATATCCGCTCTCCCGGACCCCGCATTCACTATATCCGCACTCCCCCGACCCCGCATTCACTATATCCGCTCTCCCCGGACCCCCGCATTCACTATATCCGCTCTCTCCGGACCCCGCTTTCACTATATCCGCTCTCTCCCGGATCCCGCATTCACTATATCCGCTCTCCCGGACCCCGCGCATTCACTATATATCCGCTCTCCCCGGACCCCGCATTCACTATATCCGCTCTCCCAGGACCCGCATTCACTATATCCGCTCTCTCCCGGACCCCGCATTCACTATATCCGCTCTCCCCGGACCCCGCATTCACTATATCCGCTCTCCCCGGATCCCGCATTCACTATATCCGCACTCCCCGGACCCCGCATTCACTATATCCGCTCTCCCGGACCCCGCATTCACTATATCCGCTCTCCCCGGACCCCGCATTCACTATATCCGGTCACTCCCGGACCCCGCATTCACTATATCCGCTCTCCCCGGACCCCGCATTCACTATATCCGCACTCCCAGGACCCCGCATTCACTATATCCGCTCTCCCCGGACCCCGCATTCACTATATCCGCTCTCCCCGGACCCCGCTTTCACTATATCCGCTCTCCCCGGATCCGCATTCACTATATCCGCTCTCCCGGACCCCGCATTCACTATATCCGCACTCCCCGACCCCGCATTCACTATATCCGCACTCCCCAGGACCCCGCATTCACTATATCCGCTCTCCCAGGACCCCGCATTCACTATATCTGGTCTCCCACAGTACACAGAACATGGAAATGCAATTAGTTTGGTAAATATAAACTGCTAAATACCTTTTCTCATCAGCAGTATAGAGCAGTTTTTGTGACTTCTATCAGTGTCCAGCCAAGCATTGGTTAAGGTTTGTAGGAGGAGTTTTCATTCTCCCCTGATTGTCCTATGAGGCTGCAGGACCCCTGACCTCTGTCTGGACAGTGCTGATTGGCCCTGTGCTGATCACTTGCACTCTCCCAAGAAAAAAAAAAAAAACTAGCAACACACACCAAAACTGAGCATTTGTAGCTTGCCCCTAAGGCTCTGTACTATTAG